CACGCTCACAGCAACCTCCAACTCCTGGGCTCAAGCAAGTCTCCTGCCTCAGCCTCCCAAGTAGCTGGGACTACAGGCGCCTGCCACAACGCCTGGCCATTTTTTGGTTGCAGCCATCATTGTTGTTTGGCAGGCCCGGGCCGGGGATTTGAACCCGCCACCTTAGGTGTATGTGGCTGGAGTCTTAGCCGCTTGAGCCACAGGCGCCGAGCCCATTAAAAGGGATTTAAAGGGCAGGGAACAGTGGTTCACGCTTATAATCCCAGCACTCTGGGAGGCCAAGGCAGGTGGATTGCCTGAGCTCAGGAGTTCAGGACTAACCTGAGTAAGAGCGAGATCCTGTTTCTACTAAAAGTAGGCTTAGTGCCTGTGGCTCAAGTGGCTAAGGTGTCAGCCACATACAGCTAAGGTGGAGGGTAGGAATTGAGCCTGGGCCCGCCAAACAATGACAGCTGCAACCAAAAAGAAAAAAAATAGCCGGGCGTTGTGGCGAGCACCTGTGGTCCCAGCTACTTGGGAGGCTGAGGCAGGAGACTCGCTTGAGCCCAGGAGTTGGAAGTTGTTGTGAGCTGTGATGCCACAGCACTCTACCCAGGGGGACAGCTTGAGGCTCTATCTCCAAAATAAACAAATAAACAAACAAACAAATAAATAAATAAAATAAAAGTAGAAACAGGGGCGGTGGCCTTTGGCTCAGTGAGTAGGGTGCCGGCCCCATATACTGAGGGTGGCGGGTTCAAACCTGGCCCAGCCAAACTGCAACAACAAAAAAAATAGCCAGGTGTTGTGGCAGGCAACTGTAGTCCCAGCTACTTGGGAAGCTGAGGCAAGAGAATCTCCTAAGCCCAAGAGCTGGAGGTTGCTGTGAGCTGTGATGCCACAGCACTCTACTGAGGGCGACAAAGTGAGAATCTGTCTCTTAAAAAAAAAAAAAATAAAAGTAGAAAGAGGGGCGGTGCCTGTGGCTCAGTGGATATGGCTCAGTGGATAAGGGTATGATGATATGGCACTCTACCTACAGCAACAGAGTGAGACTCTGTAACAAAACAAAACAAAAGAAGGGATTCAAAAAGACTAAGAAATAGGCCAGGCTCACACCTATAATCATAGCACTCTGGGAAGCTGAGGTAGGAGGATGGCTTGAGGTCAGAACTTCAAGACCAGCCTGAGCAGCAATATAACCAGATCCTGCCTCTACGAAAAATTAGCTGGGCTTAGCGGTGTGTGCCTGCAGTCCTAACTACTAGAGACGCTAAGGCAAGAGGATGACTTGACCTCAGAAGTTTAAGGTTGTAGTGGGCTATG